GAATGAAAAAACAAAACTGCTTACGTAATTCGTGGTGGACATTGTTGACGTGTTTCTACGGATGGTCGTTAAGGTAGCCTTGTTGCAGGTGCTTACACAAAAAAATATTTTAGAAGGGGTTTTAGGTTGTACATTTTCATAATTGTATAATCTACTCGTATATACCACTTTTACTATATATAAATATATTTAATAATTTTCCTGTATTTCAGGAGGGGTTTAAACCTCTAAAACCCTCCTTGGGTACGCCGCTTGCCTTATTGTATTATGAAATGGAAATAGACATTTTAAAAACGTTATCACTATCAGTATACTGAGTTTAGTACCGTTACGTTACTCGCACGTAAATGAGGCTGTACGTAATACGCAAACATATTCCGAAACGATTAGAACATTTCTGAAAATGCATTTACGTAAAGTCTAGTCTAGACGTATATTTGAGAGAATTCGTTTAAACGAAAAATTGTAATAGTTTGTATTATAATACATGTATTATATATTATTACATTATTTTGTATGATAATATATTATATACAGCTGTGTTGCTTGTAGGTCTCCTAAATCATGGTGTCGGTACCGTTGGCCGGGTATTTAAATAGGTACTTTTTTGTTCGAATCGAACGGCACGCACTGGGATTGTAGAACCGTTGATTATGGAATGGATAAGAACAAAAACGTTATTAGGAAAATACAATCTGTGTGAAACATGTCGGCAGTCTATATAACTACCTATAATACCAAGATAGTGTCGGATATTGCTTGTGTCAGATGCAGGTCTTAGAGTTTTTTTAATGCTACAAAATAATACATTATAATTATAATACATCAACAACAATTATGTAATCAAATATTGAGTTATGATTGAACAAACTAAAAAAAACGTTAGACAAAATTATAAAATTGCTGATTCCACATTTATTGATTAATCTCAACTCATGTATATTATTATTATTATTTCATTTTAATAGGTATTGATGACATTTTTTGATATTGTAGAGTTTAACTATCGATCAGAAGCGTATTTAGACTTTCTTCTAGGAGGGGAGGGGGGCAACTCAATTTTTTTCTTTAATTCAGTCTCAACATTTACAAGTAAAATTTTTGGTAAAATTTTAATCAGGCTAATCGTTAATATTTGTGGTTTTTTTTTTTTAAACTAATGCTGGATCCATTTAGAATCGACTTTTGTGTAGTTCTTTTTTAACACCTATCTTTGTTTTGAAAGTTACGCTTGTGTTTTATTTGATTTTTCACTCAGTATGGACACTAAGAATCGTTATAAAATAATCCACATTAAAAAAATTTGAAATGTGTATTTCACATATGATCGATTTCTTAAATACGGATGCAGAGGGGGTGATTGCCCCCCTAAAATACTCCCCTGCTATCGATTGCCATCGATATTGTTCGATTGTTAAATAGAAATTAAAAATATAATTTGAAAAATTATATTGTACGACTTAAAATTGATTATTGTAACCAATTTACACGAAACAAGAATTATTGGTGGATACTTAAGTAATAAAAAATACTCAGTTGTTTTGAAGCACAAAATACAAGTATTATTTGTGCCCTATAATATATTTGAAAATATAAGCATTGAGTGCATAACGATGGAAGAATTCAAAAACCGTTTATTTACCTTGTCAGACAAAAGCATTTTAACTATCATAATATTTATAATTTCGAAAAGAATGTATCTGTTTTATAAGAGCTGGTATAAAGCTACAAATAATCCCAGTGGCGGTTTTTAGACATTTTTCTCTGGGTATTTTTTGATATTATCTTATAATATATTAAGACACAAGAATATTTAACCCATTAATAATTTATTATTCGAAATTTAATTTTTAGATAAACCAAAAAAAAAAAAAAAACCAAATACAACGTAGCATTTTACGCCCGATCGAATAACATATATCAAAGCTTAAACTCGTGACCAGCGGGAGGGGAGAGGGGTCAGACACCCCTCCCGTAAAACCGCCATTGAGTAATTCCTATAATTGAAGAGTAGCGAATTTAACGAAAATCAGCCCAGGCCGAATGACCCGATCGTGCACGACAGTTCGAACACCGTCGACATGGCGCCGATGGCCGATTTCCCGTGCGTACAACGACGTGCTACTGACGCGACGGCAACGGAGACGACGACCGTTCACTCCGCATGGGCCCCTGGTAGGCGGCAGGTCGACTTAACCCGCAGCCCAAACCCGAACGCTGCCGGCTCGGTTAATCGGGCCCGCTCTGTCGGGTCGCCGAGATCGGGCGCCGACCCCGGGCACCGGGATTAACCGGCAACCGCGGAGTGTACGGTCGGATTTACCGATGGCTAACAGGGTCCCATGCGCGCCGTGTCACCGGGTTCGCGCGTGCGTTACACACCCCTTTAAAGTCCCCTTTGTCGACGGATTTGCGTTGTGTTGTTGCTCAACAGTTTTTTGTTCTCGGAGCATTCATGTTCCCGAAAAAAATATATGCAACATTAACTACCCCACTCAATTTTCAATTCAATTTTTTTTTTTAGAAACTTGGATTTTGTCGTTTGCTGTGAAAACTGTAGTCTTTTTACCTTGTCATGACAAATTTTTATTTCATATAATTTTGTGAAAATATCAACCGAGCAATGAAGTCGAAATAACCAAACGTTATCAGTAGGTCCGAGTTGTAAATTAGATTGGCATTCGGTGAAAATAACGCACGATTCATTGCACAATTCGATTAACTGCACCAGTGTTTCTCCTCGATAACTAAGAAATTAATTAGTGCCCATGGAGCCCTTTTTTTTACTTTTTTAATAAAAAAAATATTCCTACAATTTTAAAAAAAAAGTTTTATCGTCATTATTATTATTACTCAAAATCAATTTAAATCTAATACTATAACCATTCAATGACTCCAATGATTTTATTATTGAAATGTCTTCTCTTTCTATAGAATGAACAATTTTTATTGAAAAATAGTTTCACAAATGACAGATTTTTGTGATAAGTAATAACCAAAATCATTTTATATATTGTATATATAACTAAAGGGGAAAAATAAAAATTATATTTCGTATTCATTAATAATTTCACAATTTTTTTTAATTATATAGAAAAAAGAATCAACATGAATTTATATGTAAAGTCACTTTATTTATTTCTCCTGCGTATAAATATTGATATCTTGATAAAGATCATCAACTATTGTATTCATTGCCTATGTTCTCAATATAAAAATAAATAATTATAAAATTAGTACATTAAGTATTAGATATATACTTAATATATTTAACATATTTATATTTTATATTTTTATATTTATATTTATTATTTATATTAATATATATTTAACAATTGTTTAATGTTAGGTATTCAGTTTTAACGCGTTTGAAATTATTGAACATAAATGTTTTCAATATTGAATTATTCTTTAACATTTTGTACTATACATTTTCTCATCATTAATTTACATTAAAATTAATTTTATTAACCCTGCTGGGTTGTAAATCAAAACATTTTCAAAGTTTTTTGGGTTTTTAAAAGTTCTCTGATATGTTGTAAATTGTCAGATTTTTTATTTAACGTATTATTAATCAATAAAATTTAGAATTTAATGTTCTCAAATATGTTGGCCACTAACCAAATGAATATTAAAAACACAGGATATGTACTTTATAAAATTATAGACTACTAAAATTTTATTAATGTTATGTGTATTACGTTTTTGATAGGACTATATTTATTAATAATCTATTTTGTTTTAATATGTTTATAATTTATATTGAATTAGTATAAAAAAAAAAATTCTGTTAAAAACGTTATAAATAACTTTTTAAATTGTAGAATAAAGTATATTATTAATAACATGTTTATTCATTTGTTAAATATTTACATTCTAATAATTTAAAAAGCTATAACTCTATATCCCCATTAATGAAATCCCGAAAGATAAAATACCTTCTTTACCTTCCTAGAATTATTCCACTATATAAATAATCAACTAAGGATCTAAGGGTAATTGAAATGAAATCCAACCGTTGCTGCCATCGTGGTATCTTTTTCTTTAATATTTATATATATATATATTAAATAACTACAAATATAATCAAGTTATTTAGTGTCTTTAAATATTTTTAAATATTTCTCTTAAAATAAAATATTTTTGTAATTATCTAAAAAAAAAATATTTTAAATACGCCTAAATAGTAAGTATTTTATTGCCGTGATATTTATACGTGCAATTTAGTTATAATTATTTATAATTATCATTCATTAATAATTTTAATATTTTAAGTTTAATAATATCGTAATAAAATTAAGAATAATACTTAACAAAAATAACCACTGTGATTCCAGGGTATTAATTTATCAACCCTTGTAGTCCTTATTATATAAATCTAATATATTATAATTTATTGAATTATTACAGGCTTAATTGATTTGGACGAGTCACTCCAAATGTTCCTTATTTTTACAAACGTCATTTGATCGAGATATCAATATATATTTTGAACGAATTATAAAAAAAATAATGATTTTTTAAATATTAAAACTTATATTTAAGTATAAAAAGAAAAAATAATAGTAATAGTATGAGAAACTACATTCATTATATTTAATTATATTTATGTTAGGCGTTTTAGGAAAAATCTACAACGTACTGAAAACATACATGATCAGGTATTCAAAACGTTTACAACGTTATAACGGAAAAATTATAAAAAATTAACAAAATCAATTAATAAACATTAAAATAATTAAATATATTACATCATATTATTAAACATAATTTAAGATTATTAATAAACAATAAAAGTATATACAACATAAAAAAATTGCAAGTAATAATAATTCAAAGTAACGTTTGTGCTTTCTTTTTACGTTGAATCAAGCATTATTTTTAAATCTTATTGTTATGAATAATTCAAAGTTAGTTAATCTGTGTTGACAATAATTTATACTTTCCGAAACATTTTATCCCAGTTTTATATATAAGTATTGAATTAATTAGTATATTAGTTGATTTCTGTAATTCAATTAAGAAAATTTAATCTACAGCGGTATGGATAAACTATTTTATAAAGATACACCGGATTCTTTGGATGGAAATGGAAATAGAAAACGAAAATGTGGACACGTTGGGACCATAACCATTTGCCTACATTAAGCTGTTGACCATACAAACCAAACTTAGTATAAAAACATCAACATTTTTAATATAAAAAAGTTTTTATTTAGCGCACGTAAGCCATACAATTTTGAGATTGGACGGGGGAAAAAACGATCTCGTAGAAATAATACGATCAACATTATCCCTGTAGAGCTCGATGGTAATGGTAACGAAATAGTAACGCAATAATATACGGATTTCATCAACGTTTCTGACTGGTTTGGCGGACGTTTCTGACTGGTTTGGCGGACGTGTCATCATCGTGGTGCGTAGTGGCGTAGGAAGACTTACAGCACCCCTGGAAAACATAGAAAAAAAATGCTTTTTAACCAATTTAAATTTGATGTTACAATACTTTTTTTAAGAATACAATTAATATATATAAGTTATTATTACAGTGTTAATTTTAAATTTTGAAAATTTGCTTTTATCGCTTTATGACTGGCAAATTCATCGATAATTTCTTTATATGAAAATTTTTAATTTAAATGCCCTTGTGCTATTTTCATAATTTCATCATTAAATTCACATTTAGTGTGTACAAATAGACAACATCTACGTATTTCAAAATGTATAAATGAAAATTTTCGATTTTACTGTAGGATAAAAATAAGACTTTTGCACAATTTTTACCCCTTTGCATTTCGCGCCCCTGGCGTAGGCACAGCTCGCCATATCCTTGATACGCCACTGGCGGCGCGTACACGCGGTGCTCTCGCCATACATTAGCTATAACATAACGCGATCGTCTCGGTTTGAATTCTAATGGACCTTAAGCAAACGCGTGTACTGGGAACACATGGTGGCGGCGGTTAGGGCCGAACAAACACAGCATGTTAGCGTCAGGAAGTTAAAAAATAATCGGATGTATACGTGGTAGGCAGAGAAAATAGAAAAACAAATGATACACCATGTACGTAGTATTACTGTTAACATACCATACGTTTAGAGTCGAGCAGCGCACATGAAGTGATAATACAATACGTGGATATCGTCATGTATTGTTTTTATTTTAATAAATCGTGTGGTTGTGTGTATCTATGATTTTATTTTACATTTGTGTAATTTTTCAAATGATGGCCATTTCAGCTTCATATGATACCAAGCGTTTTTCATTAAATTCAAAAAATAATCATTCCAGTCGAAATAAACAAATTATTTGATTTATTCACTTTTGAAATATTTAACATACGTTATTTCAGCCCTTCCCACCAATAAAAATACACGTTTTACAAAAATTTATTTTGCGAATAATTAGTATGTAATTTGTATGAATTTGTACGAATAACGTTATTCCAGTCCCTCCCACGAAAAACGAATTTTTCTCGGTGAACGAACTCCGTACAAATTCTGAAAATAGTCGTACAAATTCATGAAAATTACATACTAATTATAAACATGAAAAAAATCACACATTTCTAAATGGGGGGAAGGGTAATGGACGTGTTTGCTTGTTTTAATTTCAATCATATTATTCAATTTATTCATAGTGTTCATAACTATAATTCAAAAATAGTTTTGCTGAATCTGAAAAAAATATTAATAATGTTTATTATATTTATTACATGGTTACCTCTATTTTTCTACAATGTTTTTTATAATATATAAGTTACTGTTCTAATTTTAAACGAGTTAATCCATGTAAATTAGTCATATCAGATGTTACTATTCTAGTTGAATGATATCGTACAACTTATGCAACCTTCTGTAATAAAATACTTTTAGATAATTTTTACTTCATCAGACTCATCACATTTGTTTTATTCTGGTTTACTTTTCAACTTGTAAACCTATAATTTTAACGAAAATTAGCACATTAGTATCAGTGTCCTCGTTTATTTAAATGTATGTATTTTCTATTACAATACGTAAACGGTAAAATATCCAATATCGGTATGATACCTTACCAGCCGTTTTTTGGTTCAATGGTTGTAACTTATAACGTTTTGTTCTTTGTATGCCACGATCGTATAATCTAATTATATTTTTTTTTAATTCTTGCGTTAAATTAATATGATCATATTTCTATTATCTATCAAGAGTCTCATACACAGTCATCAATAACACTGATTAATATTTATATACGGATATATTTCCATCTGTAAAACATGCTGGACTACTCCGATTACTCAGTATATTCTAATATTAAAATACGTTAGGTATTGTATTTAAAAAAAATGGCTATTTGGACTAAGCTTAAATACATAACTGAATGAAGATCAATGAATTTGCAATTATAAATTAATTTGTATATGTCAAAAAAATAATAAGACCTATACAAAATACTTAAAAAATGTTGAAACCTATTTTGCATAAATATCGACAGTAAAATTACTGTCGCATTTATCGATCAGGTTGTTACAAATTAATGTTTTAATGTTGGCAGATTTTACTAAGTCAAAACCGTATTCCCCCCCGAACGTATCTGCATTCCATAATTCTTTACTACCCAGAGGATTTGTGATGATCGAATTAACTATAAAACTATTGATCATGACCGTGAACGTGGGAACTACATTGTCACTTTTCTTTTCCGTCAACATTCCAGTCAACAGCTCTACGTTGTCGACATCTCCATACAACGATATCAACTTATTAGCCGTTTCATGGTTTTCGGTCAGCTCGTAGAAGCTTTTGTAGGCTCGTAATCCGAAATGTCTTCGATAATCGTTAAAACCTTTTATCCTATTTTCCCGGGATAATTTGATCAGTAATTTTGTTAGCGGCATCGTCGCATCGCCGTCGTTGTTACTAGTCAACGATCCCATTTTTTGATCGACCATGAATCTGACCGTTTCAGTCATACCACTCGCTAATATTTGCCTGAAAATGTTAATCAAAAATTAAAAACCATCGAAAACGTTCGAAACTAAAAAACTAATACATAAACACACAAATAGTTTATACACAGAAATAGCCTGTAGTGTTATTACACTTTTACGACCGGTTATTATTACTTTATTGAAAAAACCAAGTATCGAAACCAATTTTAGGGAAATAGTGATAGGTATTTGTTCTAGTCGTTGATTAGGCGACACATGGGTGTAGGACTCGAACCCAATTCGACAAAGAATATGAATGAATATCCATTGCGAATGAAATATAATATTATAACCGTCGCGTGTCGTCGGATGGTATAGGCACATTATGCGCCTGTGATTATTCATCGAAACGAGCCGTGCGTAAGACTAGTAAACAGAGATATCCAATCGAACTGACCTAGTGTCGTCTAAACCGTCGGGTAGACCGGACGGTAAGATGGTCGTCAACAGTAACTCCAGCGGCGTTTTAGCAGGGGCACTGGTGTTCAGGAGCACGTCGCGGTACGTCTCTGGGTGGTATTTCAACGTGAACGGATTGGCCGCGGGTAACACCTCGTTCATCATGATGGCCATCATCTGCGCGACCACCGTCCTCCTGGCGACCGCGTACAGCTGATCGTCCGTCCACTCGGGCCAACGGGTCGTCAGTAGGTCGCACACGCGGTTGTGCTCACGCACCCATAACGTGGTCATGGCGAACAGCAGCGGGTCCTCGCCCAGCAGCGGGTTGGCCACTGCCCACTGGGTGCGCAGGGCCCCGTAAACGTCCGCGAACACCGACCGCGGTGGTTGGCCGACGGTCACCGCTTGGTTGAACTGTTATTGTAGCCGCCGAACGCAATACACGGGTAAAATCGGTCGTTAAACGATCGAAAACATAACCGTTCGTCCTAATAAATGTGGTGCTTACCCAGTGCTGTTGATCGGCTACCGGCGTCCGGGTGAACACCTTCCGGATCTTCTCCGCGAAGGACAACCGCGACGGATACTGTTCACCGCCCGAGTACTCGGTCTTCAGCTTGCCGCCGGCCATCGACCTGAGCCTTTTCTCCGCGTCCCCGTCGCTCCCGTACAGCTGAGAGCCCGTCACCGTCGAATCGTAATCTTTTCCAAAAAACTGCATGACGAAGTACCGGTAAAACGTGCGGTACAGCAGATTCCGCCGTTTCGGGTCCTGCGTCAAACCACCGTCCTTTTCCCGCTTGAACACTTGGTCGTACAACGTGTTCAACGGCGGCAAGTTATCTGCGGACGGTACACACTGGTCACTATTATGGTTCTGACAGGTATAAGAATATTATACTTACCGTTAACTGGACAGTATATCGGACGGGCAGGCAGTAATATCCTGCTGGAGTTCGTCGTCGAGACTAGGATGTCGTTCTCGGTGCCGTCCGTCGAAACCCAGTCGTCCGTCATTCGTTTCAGTTGCTGTTGGTGGACTGAAAATCACGTTTAACTGTTACGTACACGTACCTTGGCCTCGTTGCCGCGAGTGCGACGGATCGTTATGCTTACACGAGATAACGGTTTTCTGGTACCGTTCCGCAGGATCAGTGGTCGAAAAAAGGGACTGCCACCACCACATTTTAGGCGCGCCTCTTCGCATGTCTTCGTTCGCACCGTCGAACCAAGCACCGCCAATCAGCCGGGAAACGGTTGAAAAATATCGCTCTGCAACGAATAAAAAAAAAAAAAAAAAACATATAGTTTGTTGAATATTCGTCGCCGAAAACACTCGGAACGTCTTGTAAACGTGTATGTGGCTGTCGACCAAACGATATCGTGCGATCGATATTACCGTCGGCACATAGTTCCCCGTAATAATTATGCGGACATTGGCACGTGAACACTCCTTTATTTTGAACGAGTACACCGCCGTTTTGGCATTGTTTCTTCATCAACGCATCGCAGTACGACCAATCCTTTGTGTCGTGGTCTAAATCGAAGAATTATTAGTTTATTATATTATTAGTTCAGTACAACGTCACTTGACGGCTGATCATGTATATATTGGGTGACGATATTCTTTGAATTTTGAAAAAACACATCAACATTCAAATATAATAGTTCAATAAATATCTGTACATAAATACCTTTGGTAAAGTACTGGATCGCAAACAGAACGATCGAAAGGTAAATAAGTGGTAACCTCAACTCCCGCATTACCGTTGACCAGCTCCATGTCCACCCAAAATAGGAGCGATGCGTATTCGTCCATTTGGCATATTCCTTATATTTGCGATTCGTGGTCCTGTTACTCAAGATCGATTGCTCTAGGATATAGTACTCTTCATCGCTTATCTCATTGCGATTCTTCGCACTTCGAAGTTTCATCAACAAATGTAGAGTGTATGCATCCATTTCAATGTCAAATTTATTAATTATTAGTTAAATTAATTTATAAATAATCAAATGTACAAAAGAATCAATAATCGTACTTTATGACCAAAATGTAATAAATGCAGATGTCAAATTATGTTTCATAGCAATGTTATTGTTGTTACGTGGATATTAATAACCCATAGATTTAGCTAATAAAAAATAAATCCGCCGAAATTTGGCCAGCGCATATAAATTGTAGATTACAATATTAAGTTTACTTTAACTATGACAATAATTTACAATGTATGTACACGTTTCGTCGTTCCGGTGACTCCAGTATTAAATCGTATTTAATACCAATAGATATTATTGATAAAAAAGACGGCAGAAATATATCTCTCCGGGGTGACGTGGATTTTAATCTTTATCCAGTTCCGAACAGAATTTCCTTAAGATTTACATGAATGTGCAATGTTGCAAGCTTTTCGTTTTTTTAATTGTTTTTATTTTATTAATCTATTTGATAAGGAGAGCCTGGTAACCGAGTCCAGGTTACAGCCCTTACGTGGGTTTTTTGGCATGGTCAGTTTATAGTTGAATGTTGGAGTGTTTTGGGTGACATCGGACAAAGAGGTGGAGCGTTTTTTTCTCTAGAGGCGGTTTTCTTGTCCGGTTATAACCACCAGTCGGCGACTGGGTTTGAACTAACGGCTGTGCGTTTATCAGCCCTTAATATAATCGTAATCTACTGTTCGACTACGGCAATCACATCTTTAGATTAATGTGTACTAAGAATCGGTAGCATTATAAATTTATCATCGATAAATAAAATAAAAGTGTTTATACATCACGATATTTCGGTAGATACTACCTCGAGAATAATATTGATAGCAACAGCAAAAAGAAACATTAGTCCACGAACGCCCACGAATACAAAAGGTCGATAGACGTTGATTAATTGTACTATAACAAATCCTTGTCAACTATTAAATTTAGAATGCGGCAAGTACTTGCAAAAATGGTCTCATTTCTTGTAAGTAACATGCAGACCAAATATTATTTGTGTATACATATAAAAACACATCGATGCTTTGATAAAATTGTACACGTGTTTTTATCTTTTATTTTAAATATCTGTTTATGACAATTATGTTTAATTAAATTGATACAAAAATGTATGCGTATTGTTTTATGTGTAATTTCAAGTTTGATTATAGTTATAGATATTTTGTTAGTTACGATTAATAACCCACCTTTCATTTTTTTGCAACAATATTTTTTTTATAGTCAGCAGATTATTTCTCATCCATGGCATTATATTATTTTTTTTAGTGCTTAGAGTGTCCGACAAATATGTAATAATACTTAAATTATTTTAAACTAAAATTTTGTTTAAAGTAATAAACTAAAAAATATTACGTTATAGCTTGCTGAATGGCTAACACAAACTAACACAAACACATTGAGATACCAACATATATACGAGTAGAGACATACATTTTTCTAATTACTTGGAAATTTTTGACGGTTTATGCTTGCCAAACACCGCCGTGGACGTTCAACCGATTGTCAATCGCAGATGTTCGCGCAGCAAATTCCGAACTCCACCTATTAGGTTAAGTAAAAAATAAAAGATTTTTTTTTTTTTAATCATAAAATAATTTAATATTACCTAGATCTTTAAAAAGTATTTTGGTTTCATCTATTATTTTACTTATAATTTTTATTCGTATTTTTACTCCGCGCTTTCCTTGTGACGTTTATTACTGTAAACATTGAGCACGTCCGTAAAATCATTTCTGGCTATTGTGATTACATAGTGGAAACTGTCAATTTTATGCACGGATGACATATTGTGCTATAACACTACACCTAATTGGCCCCTAATAATACACAAACACAGTTCTTTAAATCGCTTTAATTTTTTTTTATTCTTTGCGAATACCACGTAAAACATTACCATTATATTATGATCATTATGTCCTATAGAAATATGTGAACTAAGTAATTTCTTATGTTAATTGAAGTTTTAGGTGTATACTATTAGGAATAATTACAAACCAATATCCACCTGGATCACCATACGAGTTGCTCTCGGTGAAACTATGTAGTAATTTTTTTGATATTAAGTTTAAAACAAAAAAATAGAATAATATATATTATTATTATTAATGCGCAGTAGGTACTACTTGCAATGTAAAAATATTCTAGTAAACTCGTATTATATGTATTGTAAGAAGCCCTGTGTACTTGAAGCTTGAAAAATGCATAGGTTTTTTTTTCGTTTGACTATTGACAACCACCGAGCGTTTTAAAATGTTTATGAACAAAAATTGTTATTCTGTATGCACGCTGTAAGCCTATGTAATAAAATAATGTAATCGAAAACACAATAACACTCTAATGGATAAGAAAAAAATAAATACTCAACACTGTCATCGGTTGGCGAGTTTATTACGACCCCGTTGTGCTCGAATGGCTTGAAATCATTTTCATTATTGGATGGTTATACATTTTGAAAATAAATGACATTATAATTTATAAATGACTGTGTATTAAAAACGATCAATGTTACAATGTAAATAAAATAAATACAGTTATTTAGGTTTTCAAGAGATGTGGATTTCGTCATAAATATATTATTTAGGTATTTCGAGTGTAATACTCACATTTTTGCGAATATGCTTCCGTCGTTGTCTAACATTGGAGAACGTAGTTTGCAGTAGCTTGTTATTTAATTAAATGGTTAAACTCGACATCGTTGTACTCGGTTAGTAGGAAATAATTTAAATATATTTTTCACAACAATAGCACATAGGTATCGTTAGAATAAAAAAACGCAATTAGGTGTATTAACAATCCAAATAACCATACTCGACCATCATCGAGTTCTCTATATAAAAACACGTTTCAATAATTATTTTCGTGTGTTAGGTATACATTATGTTATTAAATCATTGGGGCATGGGTCGTGTACGGCTACGGATGAAGACTTTTAAACTCCCGCGGACCATGAAGTGCACACAAACACACACCGAGTTGTACTATTGTAATCGCGTTGCGGCAAACCATTTGTTGTTAATTCCGATTTAACGTGCACGATAAACAAAACATGTACGTGAACAATAACGTTTTTTGGAATAATTGCCGTCGTTCATTCGATTTGTATATACTGAATGTTTCTGAAATGGTTGAGGTGACCAGTATATTATACTTATTAAGTATATTTGCTTGGGCGGCCCAAAGAAGATTGCTTTGAATTTTTTTTCTAATTTTGAAACCAAGGCCTTGCAAGATCTTATTTAATTGTCTAAAGAATATTATATTTTTACAAAAGTAAAATTCAGTCAATTTTTCAGATATGTTAAATGACAAAAAATAAATTTCACATCTGTGAAATAGTAAACCATTTCACATTCTGTGAAACCATCATTTATCTTGTAGAGCTCTCATATGAATTTATAAGTCACACAAATATTTTTGATTCTGTCAACTCTGGTGTGAAAAACACGCCATGAGTACAAAAATGATATTATACATCGATTCATATAAGAAATTTGTATGAAATACCACACAATTATTTATTTTGACATTTAAGAGAATATTTCAAAGATAATCATGTATATAAATTGCTGGTTTTAAGAGAGTAAAAAATGTCAAAAAAATCTTCAATGGGCCATCCCATCGAGTACGCTTTTACTAGTTACATACACCATTTAAGAAACAGTCTAAAAAAGTATTATTGGTGCATATCACATAATTTACATGTAATACATAATATGTATATTATACACGATTCGATATCCACCATGAATCTATAGATGTACACCACTGAAGGTTTTTTCGATTTATAGATAACCCATGGGGTATCGATAACTTTCGATTTTTTATCGGTGAACTCTATTTTTCCAAATTATTTACGTGAGAACAACATATTAGTGTGAGATCATAAATCTTGTTAATAATAATAGATCAACAGTTTTTAAGTGGTTATCACTGGACGTAATATCTGCAAATTTTCCTCTTTTCCAAACTAATTATTCATTATTTGTTATAAATAATTAAAAGAAAATATTAATTTTAAAATCGTAATCGTAAACACTTTAGTCGATTATTCTTACTGATAATAAGTAAATTATTATGTATACTAATATGTATAATATGCAAGAATGGTACAATAAAGAATGCATTTGTTCACAAGTTTTGAAAACTATAGTTTCTTCTTTGAAATGTTTGGAGCATGGAAAGTTTTATCAAGTATGTATAAAATATAGTTGTTAATGTTATTAAACTTATACATATATTTCTTACAGTACTCTTTATTATTGTATTAATTAAACTACTCATAATAATTTAGCCCCCGCGTCAAGTAAATTCTGGATTCACCCTTGTAACAGCTGTAACCGTAAGATATTGACGTTGGTACCCATGATAAAATAAAAGCACCCACCCATTTTTTAACATAAAATCTATAATGAAAAAGGAATTCATTATTTTAAAATCTACATATATATGAAAAGACACATCCATATAACATAAATACATTTATATGGAAAGTGACGGGACCAAGAAGAAGGTGGTTAGACGTAGTGGAAGAATTTAATATTTAAACTAAAGATCATCTAGTTACGTTATAAACATAGGTCAGATAGAATGCAGTTCTTTTTTCATTAAAACTAAATAAGCTTATGTCAAAGTGCTATAACTGGGTGGTTCTTCTATCCCGTCAACAAGCTATAGATTAAAAACATCTTTTATTGTATTGAATATTGTGTAAAGATCGTATAATTATCTATAAAAAACTAAAATATAATACCATGTTATTGATTAAATGAAAAAATTAGTTAAATTATTTTGAGCAAAATAGTTATCAACGTGTACATTGAGAGTATTTGTATTCAAAATAGTTTTTACTCGTCAAAAATGTATATATAATTATTAAAGGTGTTTGAAAATCTAATTTTATTTTTCTTCGGCGTATAGCCTATTGAACTTTTAATATCGATACTACACGAAATATGTTGTATGGTACAGTGAACAGTGTTTAGGTTGAGCGAATTGGACGGCTTTTGTTCCGCCTCTCTGGAAATATTTATTATCACTTACTGTAACACCGTACTACCATACCTTCTTACTCGCCTACAATAATTGATCAATTACTCACGAATAAGTCTAATGAATTGTGTGGAAACTAGGTGAGAGGTAAAGTTCTATTGAAGTTTTGAAGGAGAGGCAGGATCTGCCTTTTATCCTACTCGTGTAGTAAGTAGACGTACAATACATCCAATATGTACAATACAATATGTACGAGTGCGATTGTAGTTTTTTTTCCGGATGGAATGTCTATTATTTTTTCTGGTTCTAATGCGTGCATTAAAAAATGCTTAACATCTTTTGGGTACGGATTGAAATACTAATAATAAAGACGTGTATAAGTCGATGCGTGGTGGCTAGTACCAACATCTGATCACAGATAGCGCTACTTAAATCAAAAGCTTACGTAATTTTTATGCGGTATAGTTTATTTGTTTATAATTATTGATAATATTATAATGCATGTTGTTTATTAATATATTATAATATATTGTGTGTATTCTCAATGGGTGTCCGCTTATTGGGTGTACATACAAATATATTATTACGTACATGTATATGTTAAGTATGATTTCAAACAAACGAAGAAGTGACATTTGGTAACTCGGGAGAGATTCAGAGGTCTCGACAGTATTGAACAAACTTTTACTTGTTTTCGTTGGTAGTTAAATTGCATAATGGTAATTTATTGTATATGTTACGGAAACAATTTTTGTCTGTTTATTTAATCGAATAATTGTTTTTAATTTTGTATAAATCCGAAGAAGACGAATGTAATATAAGTTTTTATTTGGCTTAAAATTAAATTTGATTTTATTAAAATCTAATCACTCGATTGGCAATGAAAAAAAATAAAATAAATAAATAAATAAAATGTATAATATAATGTTGTTCGGCCACTGTGGCTTAATACACTTTTTGAACAATTCTTAATAATATCACTTTGTATACCGAGTAAAAAAAGTGAAAATGAGTTACATTATTATTTTGATTATTCTTTGTTACCCTTTGGTTGGTAATAAATTATGTATATTTACATAATTAGGGAGAACAATGTAGGAGTTTTCAAAAGTGGCAAGACCTTTGGGAGCATTGTATAAAAGTTATAAAGGACACTGTTGTTATGGTTTTAATTTAAATTTTCAGGATCTATTAAATATAATTTATAATATTACATTATGAGTTTCTTTACACACCTCGTATGTACAGTATTCTAAATTTTAAATATATACTAAATTGGATTGTTTTTATATATGCATGACTGTACTTATGTATGTATCTACAGGCTACAACTGAAAATTAAAAATATATGTATAAAATATGTTTTGGCTAGGCTTGTGTATATAATTTAACGTATTCAAGTAGGTACCTAAAGTATTTTTTACATTTGAAAAATGTCAAAAAACTATTTTAGATGTAAATACAATTCCTAAGTAAATCATGAAACTTTTAGAAAACTACTAGAAGAAAAAAATATGTTTTAAATACTAAATTTGTTTTTTAATAATTTATTTCAAAAGCCAATATTTTTACCAGTAATATATTTTATTGTATTATTGATATGATAATAATTATCATATAAAATAATAAGTATAATAATTATTCGATTATTTAATTTTTATTTTCTCATCTAATGTTTGTGTTAATATCTTAGTAATATTGAGTGCATAATTACAATTTTTGATAATTTATTACCTACCTAGATTTTACTAGATTTTAGATATTTTCTTCGGATGAAATCTCGAAACTTCTTTGAGTTTTAATCAAGTTTTTTTGTAACTAGGCTATAGGTTTTATGCTTTCTATCATAAGAACAACAACAGTCATGAATAAATATAACGAGTAGGTGTGTATTGTGTTTGTATAACAGCCATTGTGGATAGCTTTGTTGCGTTGTAGAGGAAAACTGACATCAATGCATTAGTTTTTTCTGAGTCTCCTAACTCTGTCAAATACACACTTAACTAACTTAATCGAATTTTGTAAATGTACATAATGCCATTAATAACTACGTTGACGTGTATAAGATGGTGATGAATTATAATAAATATGGTTTCTTTGTAAACGGGTTTACAAGATAATGATACCTATATGGAATACCACTCCTTTATGAACGTAAATTATGATGTACATGCATGTACAACGTATATATTTATGAAATGTTTTTTAATATTGTTTTTTGTACTATGAGTCGTGGTATAAAAGTATGAGAAAAATGAGTCTTATTCAACTCCAGTGTTCATATTAACGTAATTTTTAAAGACATTTTCAAGTGATAGAGTATTGTAAAAAACTACTGGAAATCATGCAAATAGATGAAGATCGAGGTTATATAGTTTTAATAAATGTTTAGGATACGCAATTAAATTTATAACGGAAGGTACAATGCAATGGCTATGATAGTAAATTAAATGTATATACTCTTTGAGTAAAAATTTTTCAGTGATATATTAACACGCTAAACATTTTTCTAGAGGGAAAGTGTATATTAAAACGTGAAAATTTAATTTTACATGTTATTTTACTGTTCTTACCATAGGCGGTACTAGACCCTCTTGGCAGGGGGTGGGGTAGGAAATAATTTAAGTAAAATATTAACACTATTTTGTCTAAATCTTTAGACTAGCAATACTATAAAAAAAATTATTTTATTGATAACTATTTTAACTTATTTCAAATAAGATTATTTTGTAAAATAAATAATACTCTTAAAAATACCTACATTTATATTATTTTATCTTATAAAATTTTAAAATAATAACTTACCACAATTTACCTGTGATGGTTCTCATAGGCGGACCCAGAGTGATACATTTGAGTGTGCCCTATCATTTTTTGGTTATTTTTTCAAAATATAAAAGGGAAGCTATAATCATTTACATGTAGACTGTGTTATGATTTAAACTCTAAAAATAAAGGCTTC